TTATCAATCATTAATAAATTTATAAAAATTGCACTAAAACGTTTAAATTTTATGATATGTACAATAGTATAATTTATATGTGAACGATAGGCTCGTGTTCGGATCGAAACATCACTATGTTCGATCTCGGCTTGAATAATTATTCAAACTCAAAACCTACTCCGTGTTCGAGTTCGAAACTTGTTAAACTCAATTCATTAAATTAGATTCGAAATCAAGCTCGAACTCGAGTATATAATTCAAAAAAATCTTTGTTCGATAACAATCCTGAGCTAAATTTGGTATGTATAGTAAAAAAAATTACTTCAGCTTAGCCCACCCCATCTCTCGATCCTGGATCCGCCCCTCAGCTTAGCCCACCCCATCTCTCGATCCTGGATCCGCCCCTGGGGACCATATATGCGATTTTACCTTTACAGGATAAAGGAGTAAATTTTAAAGAATCTACATAGCTTTTACAAATGATGTGAACATTTTGTCTACAATAATTCTTAATTATTGTAGACAATCCAACATCGGGTGTACTTGGTATTGAAAAGAATTTTTAAAGGGAAAAGGGAGGAAGAAACAAAATCGAGGTGAAGAAGGTAGAGGGGACAATCCAACATCGGGTGTATGAGTTGTAAGGAATAGGATAGAATACAGAGGCAACAAAGCTATCCGAGCATTGATTTCTTTTTTCTTTTGGGCAATCCCAAAGCAAAATTTGGTGGGATCATCAATCAATAGCTTTATGTGGACAGCTTTTGTTCCCTACTTTGGAAGTTAGTTAATTAATTTAAGAGAAATTAAAATTAGCACCCACGCTTTAAGTAAAATAAAACTACGGAGTACATGTTTATACTTCACTTCTAAGAATAATTTAGAATATACGTGTACATGTATTATATTTTTTGGAAAAATATATTGTGAAGTATGATATCATCTAAAATATTGTACTACCTCTGTCTCATTAACATTGGAATATAAGAAAGTGACACAATTATTAAGAAAGATGAGCTTATATGGTTGATATTAATTGTTAAAGTAAGAATAAAGTAAGAATTATTTATAATAACAAGAATTTTACCAAATTTGGTATGACACGGTCTTAATGAGACGGACAAAAAAGGAAACATGAGATTATCTTAATGGAACGGATGGAGTAGATGCAAAGCCATTTTTCTTCTAAATTTAATTAACTAATTAATTAAGCTAAGAGCCTAGGATTGCTAATTTGATAATAAGAACAAATGTTCATTTGTTGTAGTCATACTACAACAAAAAATTAACTACATCGAGGGGCGTATCTAGCGTGGGGGCAGGGAGCAGCTGCCCCCACTCAACCCCCACCTTACCCCACTATATATATATATATATATATATATATATATATATATATATATCAAATTTTATTTGTGTATATATATCATTTATTATATACAGTATAACAATGCTTAAAGTCTAAAATAGTCAAAGCTACCGCAAATCTAAGATTCCAATTAATCTTTTAATGTACCTAATAAATGATACGGAGTACTACATATGTAATTTTAATAACATCTTTTCATACTTAATATTAAAACTTGTTTAGTTTCAACTTAAATCACTTATGATTACATATTTTATCTATTTCTTATATATATTTGGTTTTGTACTTAATAAACTATAGAATGGAATGTGTAAACCTAAGATCCAAATTAGTTTAAAATAATTTATTTTGATGTAATTTCAATCGGATCTTTTTGCACTTAGTATTAAAACACACTTGTTTATGTGTAACTTAAATTAGTTATAAACTTATAATTAAATATTTCATTTGTGTCCCATATAAAATTATTTTATTTTTAATAGTGTGAATTTTTTTAGTTAGTACGGAGTATTTCTTTCCTAATTTTTTTTTATAACATTAGTGTAAATTTTCCCTCACTAGCCAAATTTTCTGGATACGCCACTGACTACATCCATCCCATCTAAATTTATCAACTTTTCTTGTTTTGCCAAAAAAAATGTCACCTTCAATTTAATAAAAAACAATAAGTTTATTCAAATATGACAACTCAACTTACTCCATCCGGTTCTGAAAGATCTTTACACTTTCCATTTTCAGCAGTACCACAATTATCTTTACACTTCCTTATTTGCCTTATTTGGCAAACAAATCTATACAAAACAGTGCCAAACAGTACGTGCCAAACAGTGTACTCTACAGTAAAGTCAAATTTAATTTGGATTTTGTCTTAAGGAGTTTCAAAAAAAGTTGGCATAGAAAAACATACAATGGCTAGGATTGGATCGGGGGAAACGACCATACTGTCTTTGAAAAACAAGAAAAACCGGTGGGCGTAGCTCAATTGGTAGTGAGGGAGTGCCACAAGGGTTAGGTCCTGGATTCGAATACCAGCAACTGCGATAAGAGGTTACTATGCTAAAAATGCATAGGACCTTTGCAAGTACCGGGGACTAAGCCTCACTCTGTATCTATCAGATTGGGATTGCAGTCCAACTTACATCCTCTCAATATACCGTCTGATCGGAGTATTTTTTTAAGAAAAATTGAAAATAATAATTTTGATCCACTCTTAATAATCTCAATTATTTTTGCATAATCTCTTATTACACTTGTCATGAATTGAAGTGACATTATTTTTGCATAATTTTGTGACACTCTTTCTCTAGCACTTGAGTTATGCCCATCGGCTCTCGTCATTAGTCATTACTCTCTCCATTTCGATCTTTTTTTGGATTGTCCATAAAAGAAATGTGATTTTTTTTAATTTTTTCTCCTCAATACAAATTTCAATCATACATTTTTACCAACCCAATCAATTTTGGCACAATTATAACTTATAAGTGATGAATGAAGTATTAGTAAGTTTGAAGTATATAATATCCAATCCCCGACATCAATAGTGTGGGAGCAAGTTAGTTACCACGTGCAAGCGCAATATTACTATGTGTGTTGAAATCATGACTACTTATATCATATAGATATGAAGTCGACCCAAAAGGTAAAATCGCCCACCTAGACATTCATACTTGACCCGACAGAATGGTGAAGAGGTAGATCGCGATATTATTTCAATCAATTTTTACATGAAGCGGTTCATTTTTGAGTGGTCCACGTTAAATGAAACTCTCATATTGGTGTTGTCGGGTGTTGAATTTGAGTCTCAACCCAAGTGACTTATTTAATCACCATTAAACTAGCCGTGTAATATTACCCGGTAGTACGCATCTTATATTTTGATTTGTATTTGTTAACATTATTATTTCACCATTGAATTATTCACTGAGTCTTGCTTTTGTATACGTGTGGAGAAGCTGTTTGATAACCTCTGCTTTCAGCTTTATCAACTAATCTTTTTATCAAACATATAATTGTTGACTTCACGCGTTTAATGTTTTTTTCTTGATTTTATTAATAAAATATATTTTTAATATAATCTTTTAAAAATTCAATAAACTAAGCTATTTCAGCCAGAATTCTATAAAAATTAACATATTTTGTTGATTCAACTAATTTTGGTGTTACCAAACAGGTTTTTAGAAGGTGTATAACATTATGTTTTTAAGAACTTTAAAAGCTTATTTTTGTTCGAATATGTAAAAATATGATACTTTTACATGATGTTTTCCAATTGTACATTTACATATTTATTAATTAAAGCTTCTATTAAAAGTAAAATAATCTATTAAAAATTAAAACGCTTTTTCACGCCTTAACCTGCCTAAACTCGCGTGTCGCGTAGACTTGTAACTTGTAAGGCTTAAGGTTAGGTCACGCCGTCTCATCACACCTTACGCCTTATAGATCACTGATTACCTTATTATATTAGTGAGAGTGAAGGAGTCTTATAATTGTAGTCATTATTAGAATTATTAGTACTACATATTATATACTTATTTTTCTTGTAATACTCTTATTATACTTGTGATACTTGTTACTAAGTAATACACAATTACACTACTACATTAGTTAGAGTAGTTATAGTAGTTGTTAATTGATAATATTAATAAGGGAAAATTCTCAAAATAGAATTAAAAAAGTTTGAAAATTCTTAAATAGGACTGACATGTTTTTTTTTCAAAATAGGACTAATTACTGTCAAGTTCGAAAAATACTGTCATGTTTAAAATCTGGTACTGCCAGAATATGACAGTAATTAATCCTATTTTGTGAATAAAAACATGATAATCCTATTTTGGAATATACAAACGTTTTTAGTCCTATTTTGGATAATTTCTCTATTAATATTAGTATGATTATATTATTATATTACTATTCTTGTTACAGTAGTTAATGAGTTAATCTCACCATTACGCGCTTTGGTTTTTCCATCCCACTAGGCATGGACCGGTTCCGGTTCGGGCCCAGTTCAGGCCTAGGCCCGGCTGGGCCTCGGTTCAAGAAGGGGAGGCCCGGAACCGGCCCGGGTAACCCCCGGGTCCAGGCCAGGCCGGGCCTCGGTTCTATTTTTTGTTTTTTTGGCTTTTCCTAGTTAACCCCCAACCCTCCCCCTCACCCCCAAACCAACCCTAACCACCTCCAATGGCCCAAAATACCCAGCCCAACCCAAAAACTTAAAAAAAATTGGCCCGGGCCGGTTCACCTTTTGAAGGGTCCGAGCCCGAACCGCCATCCCACCGGGCCGGTTGGCCTGAACCAGGCCCGGAACCGGTTCACCGGGTCGGGCCGGGCCCGCACAGTAGCGGGCCGGGCCCGCACAGTAGCAGGCCGGTCCGGTTCCGGGCCGGTTGGCCCGGCCCGAGTACACCCCTACATCCCACTATATTTATTCGTATCATATTTGAAAATATTTATTTGACTGATTCACTCTTTCTTAAAATTTACCAATTTAACATCAAACACATAGCACTACTTTTCCTAATAATTGCACTATCCATCTTGTATCAATCCTAAAGGGAAGAGATAGTATTAATTATCAATATTACTATCAAGTATCAACATAATACATTTATATCACCATATTGTGTGATTCAATATTATGCAGAGGAAAGAAATAATATGAACCACAAGTTAACTGATTAAAATAAAAATTATTCAAATTTTTAGACAATCAAAAACAGGAAAATGACAAAGATGAGGATAGAGGGAACATTAAACTGATATATGGAAGTATATTTATTTAAAAATGAATCAGAAACAGACCTGAATGGCCAGTTCCGAATCCGATCCAATATATATCGGGATAATATATAGGTACCCGGGCTTGGTTCTGATCTAGTTCAGTTCCTGATTCCAGTTGCTCATTTCCAGTTCCAAAACCAGAACCATGTTCACTTCTACCCGTATGTAATTAGATTAGGACCTAAAATGACTAGTCTTATGTTTTATTTCCAAACTGAACTGGTTAGAGTCCAAAACAAAACAAAAAAAATACAGAGGTTCTGAAACAGGGTTCACTCGTAATTGCAACAAAATCCAAACATAATTGTCCACAATAATCTACTCCGTATTTAGTATGATTTGTTTTGTGCACTTTTATCAACTTCAACACTTCAGCACCAACCAACCCTGTGGGCAACTTGTGATAATCTCCCTTCCAACCTTAATTAGTTAATTCAAATGGTATCAAACTGTTAGCATCAAACCCGGTTCTTCCAAAGCCTTACCCAATCAGGTAAGGGTGAAAGTGTGAAACAGGTGTGAACACTGTCAGTTCCAAACCACGAACGCCAATTTTTTGGGCCAAAACCAAATACGCAATGACTTTTGCAAACTTCAAGTAATTGTTAGTCTTCACCAGCCAGATTTATGAAGATAAACGACACAAAATAATGTTGTGAAGGAGACATTTTTCTACTTTATAAGGGTTATTAACTTATTATGTCTTTAATGGTGCCTTCTTTTCTCGGTCAGATATACGGGCAGGAGCAGTTGAATGAGATTTGAAACGGCCTCTACCTTCTCCTTCTCTCTCCTGCAGTACCCGTGAACGATTTGCAGATGTAAACAATTGAGTAAAAAAAAAGCATTGCGTAATTAATGGAAAATAAAATTGACAAAAAGCGGATTTGATAACGGGAAGATGTGTGAAGGCAGTACCTTCTTCTTAACGATCTGTACGACATCCTCATCCTGAAGAACATGACTTAGGCCACAATGCTGAGGGTAGTGTCTTGCGCTGATTCCCCATACTAACACATACTTCACATCCTTCACAAGACTCCGATGTATATGGTTACAAAAGTCTTCAACCGTGCAGCCACCTCTGTCCTAGAATAGTAGATTATTCATAAGGTCAGTGATTAGAAGGTAGACAGCTGAACTGACTAAATAGCCTGAATTAAGTGTGCTGATTTTTTATGGTGAACATATAATTGATTGGTGTACAATTACCTCAAAGGATACGTAGTAGTTTTTTTATGGGGCAAAACAAAGGTGGACAGAATTGCCATTCCACTGTAAAAATTAGAATCCGCCTAAGGAGAAGACAAATTTTGGGCTGAAAAGCCGAATCAGCCAAATGTGGGGGTATTTGGTGTTTTTGCAATCATTTAAGACTTTAAACGATTTTGACATGCCAAACAGGCTCTTAAACATGTAATAAATGTTCAACGATAAATTAGAAGGGCTAATGTAAAAAAGGTAGTTGTCAGCAGCTGATAAACATAACTTACACTTGAAAGAACTACAGGATCGGTGAAATCGGGTTGCTGGCCTTGAGGTTTAGTGTAAACTCTGACAAGACCCATCTCTTCCCACATTCTTGCAAGTAGTCTGTCCAAGTTTAGCTGTATTCGGCATAACCAATCACATTGTTAGGCGATGTTCTGAACTAGGCAAATAATAGGAATTTAATACTAAGAAAAATAGTTTTTGCGTTCTTACCTAGGAAAACAAAAAGGAAATCAAATTTAGTTAGAAGCTTTTAAGATTTTACATATATTTAGATTTCTTATTTTACCCCCAAATTTTTTCCTTCCAAAATTATCTATTGTCTTTTTATTTTCCCTAGCATTGTATGGGTTCTAAACAGACCTTTCATTTCTAACAGCAGCTCATTCCTAAGGGCTTGATATTAATAAATGGGGAGTCATTCCTAAATGATGGTTTTCACATCAAAGGAACAAGAGATTGGCAATAATGGGGTCAGAAGAGATGTATTTCTGACTTCGGGTAGCAGTAAAATTGCAACTTCATTGCAAAGAATCTTAGCAGATATTACAGTCAACTCAATGATCTTGAATTGTTCATTTCACAATAGATCCATCAAACCTCATACATAGAAAAGCTTTTAACTACACATATAGCTTGGTAGCCAGAAAACTTGATAGAGTACGCAGGGAAAAGAAAGCGACTGTGCAGTGATAATAGAGAAATAATAGAATAAAAGCCAACGTCAACAGCAGTTCACCTAGCGTGGAAAACAACGTACGCAGTCCCAAGGAAAAAAGACAACACGTCTCAATTCCTCCCAGTCCCTATCCAAAGATGTAACTGCCTGCCTTCCTTTACTCTCCTTATTCTATTTAAAGTTCTCCCCCCCCCCCCCCCCCACTATGAAAAGCAGTTACAATTATTTAAATGAAAGTAACTATCAAACCGCTAGTCTATTCCTTCTAGAATAAACTTGACCATAGTATCTATCCTTCTTGATAGCTGCACACGTGTCTCTATCAATACTCCCCTCCTGCACATCCAACTTGCCCTCAAGTTGAAAATCTGGAAATTGCTCTTTGATTGTCTGTTCTTCTTCCCAGGAGTCCTCAAACTCTGGAAGTCCCTGCCAATGTTCTTCTTCCCAGGAGTTCCCTCTTCCCTTTTGGATTCATTCTGACTTCTCTAATCTCTGCAGGTTGTACTCGTAGTTCACAATCTTCTGCAAGACAACTAGGAAGTTCTTGATAATGGACAGTAGGTTTCAACATCTTCTTAAGCAAGGAAATATGGAATACAGGATGTATTCTACAATCACTAGGCAGCTTGAGTTTGAAAGCCACAGAGTTCAACTTCTCTATGATTTCGTAAGGGCCATAAAATCTGGAGCTAAGTTTCTGATTGATCCTTCTTGCCAAACTCCTCATCTTGTAGGGTTGTATTTTCAGGAACACTTGATCTCCAACCCTCAATTCCACTTCCCTCCTGTGCTTGTCCGCTTGTTGTTTCATCAGATTCTGAGCTCTGGTCAGGTTCTCTTTTAATTCCTTCAGTATCTCATTTCTCTCAGCTGTCAGTCTAGACACCTCAGCTACAGCAGTTAAACTCACATCTCCTCTTATTATGGTAGGGGGGTCCTGTCCAAATAAGGCTTGGTAAGGAGTATTCTTGAGAGAGAGATGGTAATTTGTGTTGTACCAAAACTCAGCCCAAGGTAACCACTTCACCCATTGCCTCGGTTTACTTCCAGTTACACACACCTGTTTACTACTTCAGTTTGACCATCACTCTGGGGATGGTATGCAGTACTATACCTCAACTGAGTCCCTGCCAATTTAAACAGCTCTGACCAGAAATTGCTAAGAAAAATGCTATCCCTGTCACTGACAATATACTTAGGGAAATCCATGAATTCTGACCACCTCCTGGACAAAAACTTCAGCCACTTCCTTAGCATCAAATGGGTGTGACAAGGGCAGAAAATGGGCAAACTTAGTCAATCTATCCACAATCACTAATATAGTATCCTTCCCATAGGATTTAGGTAATCCACCTATAAAATCCATGCTTATATCTATCCAGATGTGTTCAGGAATTGGCAAAGGCTGCAATAATCCTGCAGGCTTAAGATATTTATTTCTTTGGCAAGTGTCACAACTTTGTATGTAGTCCTTGATGTCGGATCTCATTCCAGGCCAAAAGAAAAGACTGGATATCCTTTTCATAGTCCTGAAGTAGCCTGAATGCCCGCCCCCCCACTGCTGAGTCGTGGTACTCCTTCAAGATGGTCAGGATCCTTCCAGATCCTTTTGGTAACATCAGCTTCCCTTTGTAATACAGCAACCCTCCTTTCATTTTGTGGTCCTTGTGTTGATCTGGCTGACTGAGTACCTTCTGTATGATATCCCCACATTTAGAATCAGTCTGCAGCTCCTCTTCTAAACCCTTCCATTCCTGGCATGTATCTATGGATAAGGCAGAGAGATTGAAACTTCTGGAAAGAGCATCTGCTGCCTTGTTTTCACATCCCGGTTTATACTTAATGATGAAATTATAACCCATGAGCTTTGCGATCCATTTTTGCTGATCCTCCCCCATAATTTTCTGCTCAGTTAAATATTTCAGGCTTCGTTGATCCGTGTGGATTTCAAAACTCCTTCCCAATAAGTAAGGTCTCCATTTTTGTACGGCAAACACAATGGCCATCAATTCTTTCTCATAGACTGATTTATTTAAATGCTTAGGAGATAGCTCTTTACTCATATATGCAATAGGTCCTCCTTCCTGCATCAAAACAGCTCCCAACCCTTTTCCTGAGGCATCAGTCTCTACCACAAACAGTTTATTGAAATCTGGAATCCTGAGGACTGATACAGAGATCATAGCAGTTTCCAAGTCTTCAAAAGCTTTATTGGTCAATTCATTCCATTTAAAACCATCTTTTTTCAAAAGGACTGTGAGTGGGGCAGCAATTTTACTATAATTTTTCACAAACCTCCTGTAATACCCAGTTAGGCCCAAAAAAGCTTTCAGCCCTTTCAAATCTTTGAGAACAGTCCAATTCTTCATAGCTTCAATTTTAGTGGGGTCAGCTGCTACTCCTTTTTCAGAGATGATATGGCCTAAATAATTCAATTCCCTTTGACCAAAGGAACATTTCTTTTGATTAGCCACCAAATCATTCCTTTTTAAAGCCTCCAAAATCTGCCTTAAATGTTCTTTATGTTCTTCCCTAGTTTTGCTGTAAACTAGAATATCATCAAAAAACACCAAGGCAAATTTTCTTAAGAATGGTCTTAAAACTTCATTCATTAAAGCCTGAAACGTTGAAGGAGCATTCGTCAACCCAAACGGCATTACCAAATACTCGTAATGTCCTTCATGGGTCCTGAAGGCAGTTTTATGAGTATCGCATTCCTTCATTCTGATCTGATGATAACCTGATTTTAAATCCAATTTAGAAAAAATCCTAGCTCCACCCAATTCATCCAGCAGCTCTTCAATGACTGGAATTGGAAATTTGTCAGGCACAGTCACTTTATTTAGAGCCTTATAATCTCCACAAAACCTCCAACCCCCATCTTTCTTTCTAGCTAAAAGAACAGGACTACTGTATGGACTGTTACTATGTTTGATTATTCCAGATTTCAGCATTTCATCAATGATTCTCTCTATCTCATTCTTTTGATCAAAAGAATACCTGTAGGGTCTCAAATTTGGAATGTTGGCCCCTTCCTTGATAGTTATAGCATGATCACAACCCCTGGCCGGAGGGAACTTCAGTTGAGCTGCAAAAACTTCTGGAAATTCTGCCACCACTCTGCCCCATTCCTCTTCTTCTCCCTTCTGTCCAGAGTCATTCATTTCTCCTTCACATTACAATAAGAAACCATCCCCAGTTTGATGTAAAATGTGAGCCATGGTTTTCATTGAAACCTCCATATTGTTTAAGGTTGTTTCCCCCTTGATTATATAATCTTGTTCTTATTTCCTCCACTTGATTACCTGATTCTGAAAGTTAACCTCCATGTTACCCAGTTCAGTCAACCACTCCAAACCCAAAACCACATCAGTTCCACCAAGCTCTAACATGTAGAAGGTTTGCTGAATCATAGTCCCTTGCACTTCTAACTGCAGGCCCATACACTTCCCTCTATTGGGAATGAAATTTCCATTCCCAATTTGTACCTTATACCCTTGAATAGGTGTAAAAGGAATCTGCCACTTCTCAATCAAACTATGTGCTATAAAATTGTGGGTAGCCCCACTATCAATAAGAATATTCACCACCTTTTCACCACCTGTCCACTTCAGAACTCCCCTAACCTTGAAAGTTTTCATGGAGGCAATGCCTTCTTTACTCAAAACCAACGGCTGCATCGTTTTGAGTTGCTGGTGGGCATCTTTATCCTCCTCCGGATCGACCAACTCTTCTCCAGACTCATTCTCACCTTCTGAATTTTCTACCAAAATCATCTTGTAGTTCTTCATTTTACACACATGTCCCCTATTCCAGTTCTCACCACATTTAAAACACAACCCCTTCTTACTTCTTTCCAACAGCTCACTTTGAGACAATCTGGGACCAGTTCGCTTCTGATTAGGTTGAATCATCTCCTCAACAGATTTACCTTCACTAGCTCCCTTACCCGAAACTGCAGAGGTGTTTGGATTACTCTTCCATTTACTCCCATCCTTCCAATTCTGAAACGGCTGATCATTGTTGGACTTCCCTGGCCCTTTCTTCCTTCCCTCCTCTTTACTCTTCATGATGATTGCTTCAGTGTTTTTGTTTTCAATCAATGAAGCTGTATCCATGATCTCAGCAAGTGTTCTGGTAGAATACAGTTTTAACTCAGCCCTTATGTCACGTTTGAGTCGATTTAAAAATACCCCTCTCAGTACTTCTTCACTTGGGTGCCCCTGTAAAGCCATAGCTACTTCAAATTTATCTCTGTAGTCTTTTACTATTCCTTTCTGTTTCAAACTAAACAATGGTCCCAGCGGATTTTGTACCAACTCCGGCTGAAAACGCTTGGTCAGATCTCTGGTGAAAGTCTCCCAGTTCTGGTGACGAGCTTGGCCTTCCCACCATTGAAACCAACTCAAGGCATGATCCTCCAAAGCCACAACTGCCACATCTACCTTGTGTTCCTCCTCAGTATTGTTCAGACGAAAATATCTATTGATCCTTACTAACCATCCAAAAGCGTCCTCGCCATTAAAAAGAGGTAAGTCAACTTTCCGACCTGTCGGGGGGTGATACCTGTGACCTTGGCGATGTCCACGATCATGTCGCGATGCAGATGGAGGAGAAGAACCGTCCGAACTTCCCGAACTATCAGCGTTCCTTGAACGTTGGTGATGAGTGGTGCGATGTGAAGTACTCGATCGACGTGAGTGACTCCTCATTCGCGTTGAGATTCGGTTCTGTAATTCTGCCAAATTTGCTTGCATGGAGGCTTGCATCGCCGCCATATTTTCTGCCAAATTCGCCGTTAAATTGTGTTGCATCTCTCTCAGATTCCTCTCCATACTGGCTTGCATCTCCCGTTGATTCCGTTCAATCTCCGTCATGCGCCCTTCCATCTTCGCGCGCGTCAATATCATCCAGCGATCGACGTCACTCTGATACCAATGATAGAGTACGAAGGGAAAAGAAAGCGACCGTGCAGTGATAATAGAGAAATAATAGAATAAAAGCCAACGTCAATAGCAGTTCACCTAGCGTGGAAAACAACGTACGCAGTCCCAAGGAAAAAAGACAACACGTCTCAATTCCTCCCAGTCCCTATCCAAAGATCTAACTGCCTGCCTTCCTTTACTCTCCTTATTCTATTTAAAGTTCCCCCCCCCCCCCCCCCCCCAACTATGAAAAGCAGTTACAATTATTTAAATGAAAGTAACTATCAAACCGCTAGTCTATTCCTTCTAGAATAAACTTGACCATAGTATCTATCCTTCTTGACCATAGTCTTGATATCAAAACTAGACGGGCTAGTTTGGAAATTCATACCTTCAAGTTGCAGCTAATGACGATAGAATTCGGCTGGCGGGACAATCTGTCCACGTCATCAATACCGACAACATCAATCTTATTGTAGACGTAAACACACTTCATGTATTTACGGTTCCCCTCAATAACATCAATAAGGTCATCCACTGTGGCATCTTCACGAAATAAGAGCTGACAAAGACAACAAAACAGATGGTCACGTATAAGGAGACGGAAAACTAAATTTCTGAAGCAGATCCTAAAGTTACTTATAGGTTAAACCTGGCTGCAGAGACTTGCAAGTTGCAACAGCTCACTCAAACACATACTAGAGATTATAAATATCACAACTCAGTTTTTACAATAAACTCAAGTTGACAAGGCCTCTTGCATTGTTGACTACACTCATAGAGATTAAATATCACTACCTCAGCATTGTGAATCTTGTATTCATGTAGAATTTGATAGCAGAGCTTCTCATCCACATGAGTTAAAGTTAGTGTGCTGTTGAATGAGATCCCGCCTGTTTTTTTCTTTTTGAAGTATATCTGTCAACATCAAACTTAACATAAGAACTCGTTTGATAATGGGATTTTGCTAAAATTGTGCATAGAAGCATTTCTGGAACTGCTGAACTACGCGAGAAATATTTCCAATATATATATATATATATATATATATATATATATATATATATATATATATATATATAAACTAAAAAACAGAAGTTTATCCAAAAATATTACTAGTACTGAACCAGTACTAATGGGAAAAAATATGACAACATGGTCACAATAGTCAGTTAGTCATTACTTACTACGAAACTACCAATGTGGGCCACGTGGCTGCAGACTAAATTGATCACTGTGGTTATTAGTCATTGCAAAAGTATCACTATGGTCATCAATTATCAAGTCACATTTTTGTCTGATAAGCTGAGAAAGTGGCTACCTAGCAGCCATAAAATTCATAATTTCTCATCCCCAACATAGCAGATGCACAAACATCAACATAAGATCCAATCTTGCTTGGAGATATATATGTGCACGTTATTTATATGCAAGGTAAGACACTGCTTGTAATGAGGCCCTCTTTAAAGTTCGTCAATGGTCCTTTAGATAAAGGCATCATTCTTTCCTATGATGCATTTTTATCATTGCTTGCCCTCATATGCCATAAATAATGTGTTCATGTTTTTTCACTAAAAGCATCCATTTACAAGGAATATTTATTAAGGGTTGAATCAGAATATCATAGTTCTTAAAAGAGTTCATGAAAATCAACTACTTTCCTGGGTTATGTAATCTTGTCAATTGTGACTTGTAGAACAGTCCAGGGGAGGTATTACACGATGGGATAGAATAAAAAAATATGTGTACATATAGGCTTCAATAAAATCTCAAAGGCTCCTAGAAGAAAGAGTCCACAAAAATATTCATCCTAGATAAATCCAGAGATAAGTGTGGACAAATTATGATGGCACGAGAGAAGAGGAAACTTACCTGAGGTGGTCTCTTATTTAAACGCAGACCCACAGCTTCCAACTCCTTTGTTAAGATTTGTCGATGCCCTTCACTCTAAAGTTTTGTTTGGTTGGTGAAGAAAGTACAGAAAATATAAGGCTATAAATTTGACACGATAGGGATTATTACTTACTTTTGATGCATCCAGAACCATCAACACTAGATCAGATGATTTTGATACAGCAATGACCTTCACCAAAGTCAAAATTCACTCAGATTTTGATCAATACCACAGGGCCAACTAAAACAATGTGATTTAAGCTATAACTGTCTCTGAAACATCTCTCAGGCAATGTTTGAATTCCATGTGGGGTGGAGGGAAAATATATTTTACTTTCTCTAAGTATTTTCTCTTCTTGTTTACATTGACATAGAATAAGAAGGGAGTGTAAACAAAAAGTAGGTAAGCAATTTTAAATTTGCTCTCTCCAGATTGGAGAGAATGGAATGGAGGAAAATCAAAACTATTTTGCTTTCTCTGTTTATTTCTTCCCGCTTAATACAACAAGGTAAAAGAATCTAATTATAATTTTCAATCTGTAAGAAACATGTACATGGTTACCTGTCTACCACGTCCCTTCCCTTCAGATGCGCCTTCGATGATCCCAGGAAGATCGAGCAATTGGATTTTAGTATCATTGTAGTGTATAATACCTGGGATGCAAGTAAGAGTAGTGAACTCATACGACGCAGCCTCAGAATGTGTTCCTGTCAGCATTGTCAACAGGGTTGACTTTCCCACACTGTCAGAGGGTATAAATTTAGTATAGGAAAAGGTACACTGATAAAAGAATTCAATATCTGAAATTGATATAAATATCCCTTAGAAGGGTAAAGTGGTAAACACGTCAAAATTATGTGAAATTGAGTTCCCAAACGATGATGTCTCAAAATTTGGTTCAGGTAAACTGTAAACCACTAGTAAATGCCCTTAAACAAAGTATATCACCCATCCAGAGGCATAAACATTGATCCATAAGATTAATAACTAAATTGATTTATTGCAAACTTACATGGCCGGTTAGGAACAAAATCATAAAATATCATTTGATAAATCTACTATTACAATAAAGTGTATGAATTACACTTTTCTTTAGGTTACTTATCAAACACTTGGAGTAGCACGAGGTGGGCATGAGAAAATAAGATACCAAACCTTGGAAATCCTATTAGTGCAACACGTCCATGGCCAAATTTTGTGACTTCAAAACCCTCTCCAGCTCCACTAGAACCCTGTTCATCATTAGAAACGATGACACCATAAAGAGACTAGCAGACTAAAATAAAATAAAAACTAAAAAAATTGTTATTTAGTCCCTCAATTGTTATACTTTCTGCATTACGTAATATAATTCCTCAATTTTAAATTTGTGAAATCTAGTGCTTCAATTGATTGCCCATAAAGCAATGTAGTCCCTCAAATGGAAGAGAGACGTGACTCTATTCTAATTAAGGATTATTATTGGGAGTGTTTTATAATTTATAGTTTCCCTTCTCCTCCTTAAATCCGAGGGGTATGTTTTGGATCCTGGACTAGGTATAGAAACACAAATGCTAATGAGAGATGCTTTTTTGTATTTAACTTCACATAGGAATATGAAATGCAATTATTCTTTTTACTTTTTTACATATAAAACTATTCCTTAGTGCTTATATACTTGAAATAAATAAATCAAATGTGCTTGACCAAGTATCTAAGGATGTTTTCTTTTGGACTGTAATTTGGTGGTCTATTTTGTTTAGGACTTTAAGTCTGGTCTAGTAAATGTCTGTTCTATGTGTATTTTATAATTGTCCAAGTCTGATCTCATCTAGTATGTTTAAGTATGGTCTGGTCTGTTTAAATCCGGTCTGGTCTGATCTAATTCGGTCTGGGACAGAAAACAGTCCAAAAGAAAACATCCTAAATCTAATACGGAGTATCTAAAATAAAAATATTGGGTCCGAATGCATCTTTTATCTTTTCATTAATTTTCTTTCCTTCGAACTAACTCCCTAATTTCATCCATTTTTGTTTCCCTAGAATTTTCTGAGTTCCAAAGACCCTAAGGAAAACAGAGAAGTATTTGAAATCCAACTAAAAAATAGATGCACTTATCAGAAAACAAATGCCACATTTAGCTATTGCAGAATGAAAAACAATTATAGGACCATGATGGCAATTTGCCCAAACATAAAAAAATGAACACCTTGGCACAACTGGCTCTGAAAATAACTACGCTAACAAAAATAAATGACTGATTTGATGTTTCTAATATCAGTGCATATTCAGATCAACAATGAAATTCTTTAGACATTCACATACTTTTGGAGGCTCTAACAACTGTGTTCTTAGCTTTGCTATCTTGGCTTTCAGCTGACCCAAATGATATTCTGCACCCAAAGTACACATAACTTATTTTCTAAACAATGGATCAATTGATGTAGCAGGCTGGAAAGTCTAGTTTTAAATGTAAAACCAATTAAAAACATAAAAACACCTGTGGCTTTATTCTTTTGGGTCCGTGCCATCTCAGCTTCAATTTCTTTAATCCTCTCTATGATACCCATTGTTCCTTATTTGAACCACCACAACACAGAGAAAGCTAATTCTGTGATAACGTACGTTTGGAGTTAGCAAATCAACGATTATAAAATCTCCAAATCCATCTTCATGTTTTGTGGGGGGGTGCACAACAAAATCCAGCATTTGACTGAAGAAAATACTGTTTCGAAATCCCAGCACAGCATCCATGTATGCTTGTGCGGAACCCCAAAATTATCCACATACATTAAATTATGAAAAATTACAGGAAAAGCAAACCACTCAAGCTAACCAATTCGAAAAGATAAGTAAATCCACTCAACTCAATCTCACCTACGCACACACCACCACTAGAACCAATCAACAAAGCCAACAATTTGACCTCAAAACAGTAAAGCACTCCATATAAAAAAGTAATTAAAACCGGGAAGGGGAATTCAACTTACTCTAACTGGGAATTTCAAGCCTGTGCAAAAGCAATGATCCCTTTAGTGACCCGCGTTTCTTTAGGCTGGGAAGATTCAAGCTCGGTGGATTTTGTGTGAGAGAACATAAGGGAGCATGACTCCTAATTTTATTGGGTTTTATTTGGATGTGTTAGGACCGTTAGGGTGTCATGATTTAGATTTTGGAGGATTTTAATGAGTTTAGAAATTTGTAGCAATTTAGATGTTTCTGATTTGGATTTTTGCGTAATTCATGAAAGTGGGGATGTCCTAAGACATTCTTACTTATTATGATATATTTTAATGGATTTCTATTGGTACTTATTATGATATATTTTAATGGATTTTGATGGATTTATATACGGCATACAAAAATCCATTGATCTTTTAAAATCCATTCAACTCCTAGTCGGGGACACCCCGTAGTTTATGATGTATTTTTGTACTATTTTAATTCAATGAATATATAGAAAACATAATAAAGGATCAATGCGTAGAAAACATTGACCGTGTTGTGAAATGAAGAAGATGAGGATCAAATTTAAGAGATAGATATATAGATAAAATGCTCTAAATTACTTCTTCTTAATATTTGAATATTTTCTGAATTTCTTAGTACGTTTATAAAGGGTTGATCACCCTATTTATACTAGTTTGGCTAGGAGATGAATCATCAAAGAATTATTCTACATAATCTGCTGGAAACATTAAACCTAGTCATCTGTCTATTACAAGGATGGAAATTGGATTAGTGTCCTGATGACAAGGATGAACAATTTACACTTGTCATTCTAAGGATTTTACAACACTCCCCCTTGAATGTTCATCCTTGAATAGATATTTGTTATTTTAAAAATTTATTGTGAAAATTAAGGGGTAAAGATTACGACTTATAATGTCGTTGTATTTGGATGTACTGTCTCGTTAAAAACCTTATCAGGAAAAACCCAGTGGGATAAAAACCTGATGAAGGAAAAAAAAGAGTGCAGTGCATTCAAATACTCCCCCTGAAATTAACATAATTTTTGAAGGCGGCGCATGCCGATTTTCTGCACAAGTTCTATGAGCTTCTTTGGGGGTAAAGATTTGGTGAAGAGATCAGCCGGATTTTCACTAGATCTGATTTGTTGAATGTTGATCGTCCCTTCTTTCTCCAGATCATGAGTAGAGAAGAACTTTGGTGATATGTGTTTTGTTCTGTCTCCTTTGATGTAGCCTTCTTTAATCTGAGCTATGCACGCAGTGTTGTCTTCGTAGATCACAGTCGCGTGACAAGTAATAGGCTTCATACCGCATTCATTTTGGATGTGTTGAATCATAGACCGCAGCCACACACATTCTCTTCCGGTTTCATATAATGCAATTAACTCTGAATGATTTGATGATGTAGCTGTCAATGTCTGCTTCATAGATCTCCATGAGATTGCGGTGTTACCATAAGTAAACATGTACCCGGTTTGTGATTTCGCCTTTTGAGGATCTGATAAGTATCCAGCGTCTGCATATCCGATTAAAGCAGCTTTTGCTTCTTTGTGGTAGAATAAGCCGAGATCAACTGTACCACGTAGATAACGGAATATGTGCTTGATCTCGTTCCAATGACGTCTTGTTGGGCATGAACTGTACCTAGCTAATAAATTTACAGAAAATGCAATGTCTGGTCTAGTATTATTAGCTAAATACATTAAAGCTCCAATAGCACTCAGATATGGTACTTCGGGACCGAGTATTTCTTCGTCGTCTTCTCGCGGACGGAATGGATCATCGTGTATGTTGAGAGATCGAATGACCATTGGTGAAGTCAAAGGATGAGCTTTGTCCATATAGAATCTCTTCAACACTTTCTCGATGTAATTGGATTGGTGGATGAAAATTCCATTCTTCAAATGCTCAATTTGAAGTCCGAGACAAAATTTGGTTCTCCCGAGATCTTTCATTTCAAATTCTTTCATAAGATATTTTGCAGTATTTTCAATCTCATCGGGAGTTCCAATAATATTTAAGTCATCAACATATACTGCAATTATGGCGAATCCTGAATTTAATCGCCGAATGAAAACACATGGACTAATTAGATCATTCTTATATCCTTCTTTTAGAAGATATTCACTGAGACGATTATACCACATTCGTCCAGATTGTTTTAGTCCATACAATGACTTCTGTAGTTTTATGGAAAACATTTCTCGAGGTTTCAAGCTATAAGCTTCAGGCATTTTAAATCCCCCGGGAACTTTCATATAAATGTTTGTATCGAGTGAACCATATAAATATGCAGTTACTACATCCATTAGGCGCATTTGTACCCTTTCAAAGACAGGCATGCCAATGAGAAACCTTAATGTAGTTGCATCAACTACTGGAGAATAGGTTTCTTCATAATCAATTCCCGGCATTTGAAAAAAACCTTGGGCAACAAGTCGGGCTTTATATCTAACAATTTCATTTTTCTCATTGCGTTTACGCACAAATACCCATTTAAAGCCCACTGGTTTTATGCCTTTTGGCGTAGGGACTATCGGTCCAAAAACATCACGTTTTTCAAGTGATTTTAATTCAGCCTGAATAGCTTCATTCCATTTTGGCCAATCATGTCGTTTCCGACATTCTTCTATTGATGTTGGCTCATTCTCATTGTTTTCATTCATAAAATATGTGGCAACGGCATAGACAAATATCTCATTAATATCAACATCTTTACGATTCCATTGTATTCCAGTAGAAACGTAGTTTATTGAAATTTCATAATTATCAACGTTTCTATCATTATCTGGAATATCTTCCTCGTTTAAGGAAGTTGGATCATCATTTGATATGTTTGTTTTGTCAATATCATTTTCTATGCTAGTATTTTCAACTTGTTCATTTTCTTGTTCAGAAGGATGAACATTTTTGGCATCACAGATCAATTCCTACCTTTTAGTTTTTCTTGGTTTTATGTCTTTTGATCCAAGTGGCCTGCCACGCTTTTTGCGTATAAAAGAATCATTTGCAAGAGATTTTTCAGAATTCTCTGCTGGGATTTCGATCCTTGCAGGGGCATTCATAGCAGGAATATGTGACTTTGTCACTTTCTTTGTATCTGTAAAAGCATTAGGCAACTGATTTGCAACATTTTGTAAATGGATTATCTTTTGCACCTCTTGCTCACATGTATTTGATCTAAAATCAAGGTGTGATAATCCTGTTGCATTCCATGTTATTTCTTTCGTACTTGGGTCCGATTTATTAGTTTCTCCTCCTAAGGTTTGGAATACTGTCTCATTGAAATGACAGTCAGCGAATCGTGCGGTGAATAAGTCACCAGTCATCGGTTCAAGATATTTGATTATTGAGGGAGATTCAAATCCAACATAAATTCCCAACCTTCTTTGAGAACCTATTTTTGTACGATGAGGTGGAGCAATTGGAACATAAACAGCACGACCAAATATCTTAATGTGTGCTAAGTTTGGCTCTTGTCCAGTTACTAATTGCATTGGGGAATATTCATGATATGCAGTTGGTCTAAGCCGAATTAAATTTGTTGCATGCAAAATAGCATGTCCCCAAGCTGATGAAGGCAAATTACACTTCATTAATAATGGTCTAGCGATTAATTGTAATCGTTTAATTAAAGATTCAGCAAGACCATTTTGTGTATGGACATGAGCAACAGGGTGCTCCACATCAATCCCAATCGACATACAATAGTCGTTAAATGATTGAGATGTAAATTCTCCTGCATTGCCAAGTCGGATTCTCTTTATAGAATGATCCGGAAAATGAGCTCTTAATCGTATAATTTGAGCAAGGAGTTTAGAAAATGCTAAATTTCTAGTCGATAAAAGACTAACATGTGACCAACGTGTTGAAGCATCAATCAACACCATAAAATATCGAAATGGTCCACATGGTGGGGCTATCGGCCCACAAATATCTCCTTGAATCCTTTCTAAAAATGCAGGTGATTCAGTTGCAATTTTGTTCATAGAAGGCCTGATGATAATTTTGCCAAGAGAACAGGCCTTACAAGGAAAATCACTTGATAATGGAACCCTGATATTCTTTAATGGGTGTCCAAGTGATGTCTTAATGATTTTATGCATCATTACTTGGCCTGGGTGACCCAAACGGTCATGCCACAACATGAATGTTTTCTGATCATCTAACTTTGTGTTAGAAACCAAATTTATTTCGAATGGACTTATATATGTGAAATATAGTCCTGAGGAATATGCTGGCATTTTTTCACAAATATATTTAGTGCCAGATTTAGTTGTCGTAAGACAAAGATATTCCTTTTGATTTTCATTCATGGTTTCTATGTGATAACCATTTTGACGCATATCTTTAAAACTTAATAAATTCCTCCGTGATTTGCTGGAGTATAAAGCGTCATTTATAATTATTTTGGTCCCGTTAGGGAGCATCACATATGCTTTCCCAGAACCTTCAATGAGCTTCGCAACACCTGATATGATATTGACTTTAGCCTCAACTAAAGTCATTTGAGAGAAATATATTTTATTTCTCAAAATGGTGTGCGTTGTGACGCTGTCTAACAGACATAGCTCATTATCATTTGAGTGATCCATATCTTCAATATGTGTAAATAAACATAAGCTTGATCACAAATTGTGCATATAATTTAACATAAAATACATATATTACACACATTTATTTAAAAACAAAAGAAAAAGGGAAGAAAGAAAAAGTACATAAAACTAATATGTTACAACATAATGATCGGAGTCTAATATTTTATTTTGTGACATTTTGGTTTATTGCAAAAGCATCGTCTATAATGGCATCATCCGCGAAAAAGTCGGACACATCAAATTTTGGCAAAGGTGGAGTTGTGTCATTGACATAATTAGCTTCCATATTTTTGCCTTTGTTCAAATTCATGGAAGCTTGAAATAATTCGACCAGATGTTTCGCAGTACGGCATTTGTTAGCCCAATGCCCCGTCATGCCACATTTATAACAAGTCGTCTTTACCGAGGTTTTTGGAGGGTGATTTATTTGATGGGCCTTTTGTTTGCCCTTGCCCTTATAATTTGGTCTATTGACCTGTTTATATTCTCGATGTGACTTGTTTTTATGACCATTAAAATGTCCACGTTTAAAATGCCTTCTACTGCCACTGTATGTTGCATTTGATTCAGTGGCTAAATTATGGCCAGATGGACCATAA